TACACTGCTTAACTACTGTCAGCCTTAGTCGAGGATGTGTAAACTCATGGGGGTGCTTCAGGCTGGGAGTGTGTGAGAATGTCTATGTGTCTTTAATATACACTGTTTTCGAGAGCATGCTGAAATCAGGAGAAAACTGTGGAATAAGAAAGATATGAAGCTGGGAAAGGAAAGCATAGCCAGGGTGAGAGAGGTTAGACCTATGGATTTAGGATAGCAACCCAACAAGTTGGGTACTGAGAAAAAGGAATTTAAAACAAAAATGTCCACCTCAAGTTGGCTCACACACACACACCCCACACCACACCACTAAACACTTGTCTCTAGGAAACAACAAAGGCATTAACCCCTTAACCACCAAGCTGGAGTAGATTTCTCCTCCTATAGATCTGCAATTGAGTTTATTTTTGGTTTTAAACCATTTGCAGAGACATAGGTATGCCCTCTTACAGAAAGAAAAGCAATCTTTCCTAATCACAGCTGACCAGGAATTACAAGTCCATGCACAAAGCATCCTATGAACTGATATTTTGCTGTTCAAGAGGAAGCTTAGTGGCATGGTTAAAACTGCTGAGCAGAACTGGGTTCAAATCCAAGCCCTGCTAATGAAGAAATCTTGTAAAATGACTTGGCCTCTCTAAGCCTCATTTTCCTCATCTGTGAAATGGGAACAATTCTGTCTCCTTGAAGAGCTGTGAAGAGTCAATAAGGGAAAACATAAATTTAAGCTTAGCAGTGGCTGGCATGGAGTATGACCTCCAAACATGTTGGTTATACCCATTTCACTATTAATAAGAAGGCCCTGGAGTATCGACGGCTGGTTTTGCTCTGCACTTCCAGCCAGATTCACTGACCAAAAGTCCCTCCTGAGTGTGTTGTGACACCCCATCAGTGGGTCGTGAATATTTAGTGGAACACAGAAGCCTGTTCCAACAGCATGTTTTCCTTTGCCGGGCTGCATTTCTTAATTGCTCCATAGCAGATGTACTTGGGTTTGCCAGCCAAGTTGCAGATCAGTTTCAGGGTTTGAGTTCCAAAACATGACATTGGCACTGGGTCATTTCATGTTTGCAAGACAGTCCCTGGGTGCAACGGGAGCAGGCTGGTAGCAGAGGTGGGGGATGGTATTTTCTGGCTTAATTAGATCAGGCCAAGGAGTCATGACCCCTTGGCTTCCTGCCCACCTACCTTGTGGCCTCCTAGATGGGGATGGAGGGGACTGGTGGCTGCAACGAGCCCCAAATAAAGTGAGAGCAGGAGAAGCCTTTAGGTGTCATTGAAGCCAGAGGCTGTCGCTGTGCTCTGCAGTGCTCTGCAAGGGTATCCACAAGCTCTGCCAGGCCTCTCCCACCCTCCCTTTCAATAACATAATTATCACAATCAGAGGCAACATTTAGGGAGGACTCACACTCCACCTGGCACACTTCTAAGCTCTTTGCATAGGTTGATGCATTCCATCCTTACAACAGCTCCCAAAGATGGGTACTATTATAAATCCCTTTTCACAGGAAAGGGTGTCAAGGCTCAGAGAACCTAAGTAACAGGTCCATGGTCACCCAGCTTGTAAGCAGCAAGGCCAGGACTGAATAGGCAGTGGAGTCAGGGCTCAGGCTCTCAAACACTCAGACTTCCTCATCATTATTTGTGCCGGCTTCTGTGTAAGATTCCATTTTGTTGCATGCACACACACATACACAGAAATTATTGATCCGGTCTAGAACAGAAGAAACTACTTCAGACAATGTTCCAGGAGTGTTAGGACCTCTTGTTCTCTTAGCTGTTTGTTCCTAGATACTCGTTTATACATTCATTCAACAATATTCAGAGAGTGCTTACCAGGATGGAGAGCACAGCCCAGCACCTCATAGCACTTGAGCTGGGCTCTGGGAGCCAGGCTGGGCAGCATTCTGCAGGACACAGCCACAGCCTAACACTCAGGGAGTAAGCCTCTGTCCTCGGGCAGAAGAGATCTTAGAACTACCACCACCAAACACAAAGAAGGACTTCCTGGATCTAGATTTGAAAAAACCCAAAGACATGATGGAGAGAATCAGGGAAATGTGAATACAGATAGTTATTAGGTGATATTAAGGGTTATTGTTAATTTTGAGAGAGTGATAGCAGCATGGAGACTAGGTAAAATATGGTCTTACTCTCTAACAAATAAATTGCAAGGGAAAAAGAGAGATAGAGGGAGAATCTATAAGTTAAAACAGACTTTAGAGACATCTCAACTGATTGCAACATAAGGTCCTTGCTTGGACGCTGATTCAAACAGACTGTGAAAAGAAAAAAGGGAAAAAGAGGGAAGGAGAAAGAGGAAAAGAGAGAGGGAAACAGAAGAAAAAAAGGATGAAACAATAGGCAACAGAAGGAGAAATGTGAATGTCAATTGAATTGTTGTTGATATAAAGGAATGACTATAAAATGTAGCAATGGGATTATGGCTATGTTTTTTAAGAGCCCTTATCTTTTATAGATACATACTGAAATATTTACAGATAAAATGCCTGAGATTTGCATCAAAATAATTGGCAGGGGAGAGAAAGAAGCATATAGATGAGGGTGTAATGCAGCAAGACCACCCAAGAATTGATAACTGTCACAGCTAACAAAGTATACAAGGGAAATCATTATATTACTGTCTCTTCTTTTGCCTAAGTTTGAAATTTTCACAATAAAGCATAAGTCAGAGATATTAACTGGCATGTGTGTGATATAACATTATTTTGGGGATTCACTTTAAAATATTCTAGCAGAAATATTTAAAATGTTAGAAGGATTAAATAATACGGCCATGACTTAATTGCTGGAGCTGAAGGATGGACCCATGGGTGTGCATTATTCTTTTCTCTCTACTATTGTTTATGTTTGAAACTTTCCTTAATATGGCATAGGAGAGAGCAAGCTTGGGCTATGAACCTATAGTAACTCAGTCTCCATATTGTTTACCATTTATTAGCTTTGTGACCTTAAGCAATTGATATATTCCCTGCCTCAATTTCCTCATGTGTAAAATGAGGTACAACTAAGTCCTATGTCCATCACAGCTGTCTTTGTAATAGCCCAATGCTAGAAACAACCAAATACTCATCAACATGTAGGTGGATAAATGAATCACGGTATATCCATACAATGGAATACTACTCAGTGATAAAAAATAGTGAACATTGATAATCACAACAAAATGCATGAATCACAAAATAATTATTCTCTGGAAGTTAGCCAAAGAAAAGTTCATATTGTATGATGACATTGACATAAAATTTTAGAAAATGCAGATGTATCTATAAATGGCAGAACGCATACCAGGTACCTGGAAAGGGAGGTGGCAAAGAGGGGTGGGCTGAAAGATCACAAAGAAGCATAGCGAATGCTTGGGGTTGACAGATAAGTTCATTATATTGATTGTATTTCTTTCTCATGGTTGTATACATATCAAAATTTATCAAACTATGCTTTAAATATGTATAGTTCACTGTATGTCAATTATAATTCAAAGCTATTAAACATAAAACTTACCTCAGAAAGTTATGGGGATTAAACAAGTTGAAACATGTGAAGTACCTAGGATGTATCAGGCCCCCGGTGGGCTCTCAGCCACGGGGTATCAGGTTCTGTGCTAGGTGCTGGGAGTACAAGAAAAACAAGACAGACCAGGGTCTTTAACCCTGTCCTCATAAAGCTCTCAGGCTTCCCAGGAGAGGAGAGAAGCAAATTACAAAACATTACAGGAGGAAGGAACCACAGGGAAAAAGGAATATAAGTCAGTTCAGTCTTCTTGGAAAAAGAAAATACATCAGCTGAGGTCTACCAGCTAAGTAGGAGTTGGCCAGGAAAGAATCTGAGAGAATATTCTGGTTAGAAGGAAAGCATGTGCAAAGGCCCTGAAGCAAGAGAAAGCAGGGCATAGTTGGGAAGTATAAATTGTTCTAATGGGTGGAATTCAGAGGGCATAAGAGTCTGGGAGAGGAAGTAGCAGAGACTAAATAAAGAAGAAGCAGGCAGGAGGAAAGAGGAAGGGGAGGGAAAAAGAATTTGACAACGAATCACTAGTATTTATTGTTTCTTATGAGCTAGGCTGTGTACTAAGCATTTATACTCAATAGCAAACCTATGAGATGGGTACTCTTATTATTCCTTTTTACATATGGGGAAACTGAAGTACAGAGTGGCTCAGCCACTTCGCCCAAGATCACACAGCTAGTAAGGACAGCAGGGGGATTCAAACGCAGGCCTGGCTGATGCCACCTCTCAACCAGGCCCTAACACCCTAGCTTCCATGAAAGGATAGAGAATTTTTGCAAAGTACTAAGGTATTGAAGAACAAGGGAGTATTTTCCTCCAACCAGTATTTAAAAGGCATTAAAAACAGCCTAGTACCAAACTGAGTCTTTCTCCTTGATGTAATGAAAAAGATTAAAAGAGAATCAGAAGGGGAATGGCTTTCTCTGGAATTACATGTGTGGAAAATTTGGCCATGAGAAATAGTACCATCCCCAACTCAAGCTACAAGGAAACTAAGAATTGAAAAAGTCAGTAACTTGCCCAAAGTCAACAGCTGGAAAGTTTTGGGGTCTGCCTCCAAATTCCAGGCAACACCATCCCTTGAAATTACTTCTCCCTGAAGGTACCAGCTCACTCTTCCCCTCTGCCCACTCTTTCCAGCCTGTGCCTCCTCGGATCTCAGGCCTTCGGTTCTCCCTTCCTTGGCCAGCCTAGCATGCAGCAAAGCTGTCTGAGGAAAGTCACTGTGACCACTGCAGGGAGGAGGAGACATGAGTCCCCCACCTCTGGAGAGCAGGCGTCAGAACCCTATGACACGGCGCTCTCAGTCAGCTCTCTTTTCTATTGAATTAGCACTGCTTGACACAATCCCTCTTTTGCCATTTCAGTGTGGTGAGTGGCTAATTTGATTGGGTTCAATGAGATGTAAATGATTGGATTCAATAAAGAACCAGGGAGTGTTTCCCTCCACCCCGCTGACCTCATTTCTCATTGGCGGTGCAGCCTCCTGCCCAGCAGAGCAAAGAGAGGCCATGGAAGCTCTTGTCTGCACTTTGTTGGTAAGAAAGACCACGGGTTCCCCTCTCCTCCAGCTCCAGTGATCCTGCTGGGTAGGGAAACCTTGCTTTGTAAAATGGGATCACCGCATTCCCCATAATTGCCATGCCTGGTCTCCCTGTCTCCAAACTCTGGCCCCGTCAGGGCTCCCTGCAAAGGCAGCCTTAGGGTGTTTTGTCCAGGATGCATCATGTCACTCTCAAAGCACTGGGGGCCAGGGTAGAGAGTAACTGATGGAGTGAATCTCCTAAGGAGAGGATATGACTTTCAGGCAGGACTGCTGGATAAATTATAAAACATCATTGTATACATAATTAAACACATAACTTCTAGAATAAATAAGTCCCAAATATTGCATGGGACATACTTATGTTAAAAATTACTCACTGCTTATCTGAAATCCAAATTTAACTGGACATCCTATATTTTTATTTGCTAAACCTGGCAACCCTAGATCCAAAACAAATATGGACGGATTAACCTTCAGGACGGGACAGAATATCCCTTACATTTTAAGAGTAGAGGATGGATCTTATACCAGATGTGGTGTGACATGCAAGTTATTTAACTTCTGTGGGCTTCATTTCCTTGTGTGAAAAAAGGGAGATGATACTAGTACTAACCCCTAGAGTTTTGGTTAAAACATGAAAATATACTAAAGGAATTAATGTATATAAATTGCTTGAAACAGTTGTTAGCATATAGTAGGCATGATATAAGAGACTGTAATGATGATACTGACAATGAAGAGGAGGAGAAGAAAGGGGATGCAAAGGATGATAAATCTAACAGTCGATATAACTACAACTTCATGTTCAAATAGGAAATAAAGAAGGCCCCATCTGATAGTTTGTATTTTCTCTGTGAAACTTCCAGAAGGCAGGAACAATATTCCCATTGTTTTGTTCACTGTTGATTCTCCAGTGTCTATAAATGTAAATGCACATACTAGGTGCTCAGTTAATATTTGATGAAAGAAGGAAAAAGAAGAAAGGAAGGATGATAGGGAAGGAGGTTTAAGGCAAATTTAAATGTTGGAAATAAGAGACCTGAATACAGTACCACAAAAGGAACCCTAGGAGACACTGGGAATGGGCCCCTAGAACTGCAGTGGTGCCAATAGAGAGCACTCTGGGACTTCATCCAGGAGAGCTCACCAGAGTAGATGCAGGTGCAGAGTCAGAGATGGATTGGCCCAGATGGGGGATTCACCAGTGGTACAAGAGAGAGACTGTGGTCCAAGGCAGTTAAAGCCACTGTGAAGTAGCACAAATGATGGCCTATGGTTGCTAGACTTGACAGGGAAAGACATGAAGACAAGTGGGGGCTGACAGACATAAGGGAAATTGAGGAAGTGATGGCTGGCTTTCATGGGAGTCACTAAGTGAAAGGTTTGAAGAGGAGGGCGTGGCCTGAGCGTGAAGGGTTGGCATTTAGGATTTTAGTGAAGGAGCAGTTCTGGGTGACCATGAGTTTCAAGTTATGGCCAGAGGGATCTGAGTCCAACCTTCTCACTTGAAGTGTAATAGCTCAAACTTATTCTAGAACACAAGCTTGTGTTGGGCTCTGTGACAAGCATGTTCTTCATATCCACTGTCCTTTCCATCATTATCTCATTTAACCCCAACACCACCCCTAGAAAGTGCTCGAATTATCCTGTTTTAACAAAAGGGAAACTGAAGCTTTGAGAGTTAAATAACTTGCCCACGGTCACAGGACTATTTAGGGGTAGAACCAGGATTGCCCCCAGCTGAGCTCCAGTGCCCATGGACTTACCCTCTTCACTCTACTGCCTGGATAGGGCTCATGCAGAAAAATGGAGAGCCAGAAGGAGCAGTAACTCACCCAGAGCGCGGGAGTCAGAACATTAACCATTTTCTTCTGACCTGCAGGGAAGTGCATTTGGTAAAGTGCCTGCATAGTGTCTGGCAGATGGTTGGAGCCCACTTGCTACTCCTCACACCCTTCTGCAGTCCCCTCTCATAAAGCAACTGCCTCAGTGTGCATGGCCAACAGAATGTGGCAGAAGTGATGGTAAGTCACTTCCAAGATTAGGTTATAAAAGACACGATGGCTTTTGGCTTTTGTCTGGGTTAACTCTTTCTCTTGGATCATTCCCTCCAGGGGAGTCCAAATGCCATGTTGTGAGGACACTCAGGCACCCTAAAGAGAAGCGCACACGGCAAGGAACTGAGGCCTCCCGTTGCAGCCAGCCAGGTGAGGTCACCAACATCCACATGGGTTAATGTGTAAGCAGTTCTTTGCTCCTTAAGCCTTCAGCTGAGTGCTGTCCCAGCCGTCATGAGAGACCCTAAGCCAGACCACCCAACTGAGGGACTCCAGATTCCTGCCTCACAAAAACTGTGAGATAATAAATTTTTGTTGTTTAAAGCTGCAGGGAGTTTGGGGGTAACTTGTTACACAGTAACAGATAACTAATACACCCAGTAACTATTCCTAGCATTCAAGTCAAGCCCATCGGCAAGGTTATGTGATCCTCAGCTTCCTCATAAATTGTTTTCCAGATGTAGACAATAAAAGAACGTACCATTAAAACACCGAATGTCCCTTAGTTTAAGCCGTTCAGTTACAAGTGGGCTCTGGAGCTAGTGTGTCCAGGACTGTCACCCAAGTCCAAATGCATGACTTGGACATGTTACTTATACTCTGAGACTCAGCCTCCTCCTCTGTAAAAAGGGGATAATATTAGTGCCCACCTCAGAGTTGTGCACATGAAGGAAGAAATGAGTAGTACAACCATATTAAGAGTCAGACACATAATAAGTACTTGATAAACACTGTGGAATTAGTGTTATTGTTAGAATTAGTAATATTACAGATAAGTGGGAACTGGAAAAATAATTACAAGCATCTCTGTTCCTAAAATATCCATTCAGAGACTAATCAGAGGTTTGAACTATGACAGACCTGCCAGTGCAAAGGCCTGCAAAGGGCCTGGACAAATATTGATCATGTGCAGTGTCGAAAATCATCCCAAATGGTGCTTCTTGGTGTCACTCCCCCAAATACCCACAGGTGTGCCCCTGGCATCAGGCCCTGATTCTGATAGGTGGCTGACTTCCAGGCACTGCATATCTCATCTGAGCCACATTCCTCGGGCCATGGAAGTGAGTCAAGGGCTTACTCACTGTTGGTGTGTAGCAGAGGCTGGATTAGGAAAGAACTGGACTCAGAAGGAGAGGTTTGGCGGGGAAGATCTCAACCATTCCATCCCTCCCCAGTCACGGGAAACCCTGGTTGCTCCAGAGCTGTCCCATTTCGGGGGAGGGCAGGTAGGGGAAGGGTGGGGGGAGTTCAAGATAAAATAAATCTTGCGTTTAAAGGAATCCTGTATGAGGACTTCTTTCCTATCCCAGTAGAAAGAGCTAGGACTCCAGAGTCAATTCCAGCCCCAGTTCAGCCACCTACTAACTGTGTGTTCCTGAGTGAGTTATTTTACACATCTGGGCCTCGATCTCCTCCCTGTAAAATGGTGTAACTTGATGTCTACCGGCAGGGTTTTGTGAGGCTAAAAGGAGATCAATATGTGTAAAGCAACGTACCTGGCACACAGTAAGCCATCAATAAACAGCAACCAGATTATCTACCAGTGTTTGCTCCATGGGGATAATAAAACTGCCTTCAAATTGTTGCTATGGCTTAAACAAGGTGACAGAGGTTGAGTATTGGGCACAAACTGCACACAGTAGGTCAATAAGATGAATCCCATTCTTTCCTGCAGTTCCTAAAATCTCTCCTCTAGAGAGTCTTCCCAGACTAACCAGAGGAAGAATGGTAAATTCCTCTAGGGTTTCCTGACCCAATTCGAAGACTCCTTGAAGGAATTACTGAGGCAGACTGGCTGGTTGGTCACCAATCCTGTTCCTTCTCTCCCTTGACCGCATGACTGGACCACATTTCCAGGCTCTGCTGCAGTTATATGTGGCCCTGTGGCTGAATTTAAGGCAAAGGATGTGGACAGAAGTGATGGAAGCCACTTACTGCCTTACCCTTGAAGACCCTCACTGCTCCTTCCTGTTCTTCTCCCCATCCTCTGGGGGATCCAGAAGATTCCAAGGACCCACAGGAGGAAGCACAGCCACACCATGGAAAGAGCCCAGGTCCTGGAATCATCCTGTAATGACCACCCCGGTGACCAGGAACAGCTATGCTGAATCAGCATGAGTAAGAAACAAACTTTTTAGTGTGAAGCTACTGGATTCAGCAGTGTGTTTGTTTCAGCAGCTGGCATTATAGTCAGTATCTCAAGAATTCCACTCCAAGTCCCCCACTACAAAGTGGACCCAGTGGAGAAAATGAACTTGGCTTCTCCAGGAATTTGAGAATCAAATATTCTACCTGTAGATATGAATGCTTTTGACTCCAAAACAGCTATAAAAGAATAGCTCATGGGCAATTAACCTAGGAGGTACTACCCATAATAATATCCAACATTTCTGAGGGCTTGCTGTGTGCCAGGCACTGTGTTAAGTACTGCACACATGTGATCTTATACATTCCTCATAATAATCATAGGTGGTACATATTATTAAGCTCATTTTACCATGTAGGGTACTGAGGGTCAGTGAAATCAACTAACATTTTCTCATTTCACAGCATAGGACTGGTTATTATGGTATCAGACACAGATGGTTCCATTTTGAGACAAGAAAGGAAAAGGTCTGCCCTGTCCCTCTGGAAAGGGTACTCTGGAAGCCAGTGGGGAGACAGTAGGGTCCCTGGGGAATATGGGCAGATGCGAATGCTGCCATGTCCAGATGGTGAGGAAAGACCAGTGTCCAGAGTTTGGAACATTTACCCCAGGTCAGCCCTTCCCAGCGACACATGTTTGATGTAGATATTTCATTTGTCTGTTACCAGTACCCACCAGAGGCTTATTCGTGTCTGTGGGTTTAGAAGCATTCCCCTACATTTTCAGGCCAACCATTAAATGGTTTTCTTGAACTCTCAGTGCACTTCCCTTTATATCTCACTGTATGAACTTGGGCAAGTTATTAACCTCTATGAGCATCAGTGCTCCCATCCATGGTAGACAGACAATAAGGGTGCCAAATTCCTTGGGCTGTTATAAAGATGAAACAAGGTAATACATGCAAGCATGTGGCATACAGTAAGTGCTCAATCAGTTGGGTGTATGTATGTATGTTTATACACATATCTCTGTCCATCTGCCATTCCTCTAGAGATAATAGTAATTCCTTGGTGTCAGAATAATTGACTAAAATAACGTTTTTCCAGTTAGCACACCACCTTGCACAAAGACAACATTCAACAAATCTTAGCTGATATCATTATTTCAAGCCACCCACCCCCAGCATTGAATTGAGATGTAGAAGTCTGGTGTGAGTCCTGGGTCTCCTAGCTAGGCAACTCTGACCAAGGAAGCTCATCTTCCTATGCCTCCATCTTAATATCAGCAACATGGGGATCATGATGCTCAGTATGGGAGATTTTTTAAAGCATTGAATAGTGTATAAAAACATACTACAGATGATAATAAACTTTTTAAATGTACACATTTAAAGTTATTTGGGGACCCATCCTTTATTCTTCTTAGTAACAGGAAACAGATTTTGCTCCTTTAGCTCCCAGCATTCAACACAATGACTGGCACATAGTAGGTGCTCAATAAATGCTGAACAACTAAGTGAATGAGCAAATATATGGATCTATTGTTTGAATATCTTGGATTGTTTTAAGCTTCCAGAACCCAGGCATTTTTTGTCTCATCCAAATTTCTCTTGGGATAATAATCTACAAAACCCGGCTAGCCCAGGGCCTTGAGCTTGATTTTTTATAACAATGATGAAGGCTTTCCAAACGCTTTCCGATAAGTGTAACAAAAACAATAATTGAATGCTTTACTTTCAAAATGCCTTTACATTTATCATTGCATTTTATTCTGTCAGCAGCCTTATAAAAGTAAGAGTTATTATTTTCATTTTGCAAATGGAAAAAAAAAGATTGAGACTGAGAGAAGAAATGCCATTTTCCCAACTCTGCAAGCCAATGGCCTTTCTGGAATTTGTAGGAGAAACTTGGTTTCAGTTATTCTTTCCCCTCCTCAAAAATCTGGTGTCTTGATTAAGGGATTTAGGAAAATGCCCTCCTTGTTGTGTTCCCCAGAGTTCATTCTGGGTTGGATATTGCTTGACTGGCTAAATGCATCATCTTATACACAACTGGCCAATCTAGAAATTTGGAAATTATTCTGGGTTCCTCCTTGTCCTCATGCCCTTCCACTTCACACCCACATACTTGACTTTCCTATAATGTTGGAGGGTTCCCAGAAAGATCTCTCAAGATGTTTTGCAGAAGCACATATTCTTCCAATTTGCTGGAACATATTCCATTTAGATGCCTCTACCACTTCCCCTCCTTATCTCTTGCAAAACAGCTTAGCAAATCCTTGGGAGCTTATTCCCCAAAGCAATACCATACCCACTAGCCACATGTGACTACTAGGCCCTTGAAATGTGGTTGGCCCAAGTGGAGATCTGCCATAAGTGTAAAACACATAGTGGATTTTGAAAACATAGTACAAAAAAATAATGTGAAATATCTCATCAATAACTTTAATATGATAATATTTTAGACATATCAAATTAATTAAAATCACTGTTTCTTCCTAAGTGTCCATCAGTAGATGAATGGATAAAGAAAATGTGGTACATATATACAGTGTAACATTATTCAGCCATAAAAAGAAAAGAAATCGTCCAATTTGCAATAACATGGATGGGCCTAGAGGGTATTATGCTCAGTGAAATAAGCCAAGAGGAGAAAGATAAATACCAAATGATTTCACTCATTTGTGGAATATAAAAACAAAGCAAAACAGAAGTAACAAAATAGCAGTAGACTCACAGACATAGTAAGGGCCTAGTGGTTACCAATGGGGAGGGTAGGGAAGGGTAGGAGTGGAGGGAGAAGGGGACGGTAGTATTATTGCCCAATAATTCACAATCACAATATAGGGAGGTCACAGGGATGGTAGTGCAGCATGGAGAATACAGTTAATGGTTCTGTAGCTTCTTACTATATTGATGGACAGTGACCACCCCGGAGGGGCTGAGGACTTGATAATATGGGTGAATTTAAAACCAATGTAAGATTGTATATCAATGATACTTTAATTTTAAAAATCACTTGTTCCTTTTTAATTTTTAATGCGGCTACTAGAAAATTTAGATTTTCATATATGGCTCATATTGTGTTACTATCGAT